CCCCAAAACCCCAAAACCCCAAAACCCCAAAACCCCGTAAGTTTGTGAGGAAATTGTATAAAATAATATTTATACTAAATAATGGAGCAAAAAATACCTGGTGAGGGTAAGAATTAGTTGTGTATTGTTAAACTCAACACTCAACCTTGTAGAGGCGTATTTTAAACTTTTTTATAGAGTCTCCAAATAGGATTGAACAAAGGCTATATGATTACCAAAACAATAGCAGTGCTGATTCCAAAGACTTGGGTGATCAAAGAGTATTTATACTTTAACTTTATTTAGCAAAATCAGGAAGAAACTAAAGAGTCATACTCATACTACACCTATAGTGTTGACAATGAATCTCTTGATTATGATATGAGTAACCTCTCCTTATCATTCTAGAAAAATACAATGAAAGTATGATCGATAACTATGGTCAAGAATCCCCCATAGAGTATGATGAACGCAACGAAGAACCCTCCGAAGAAGGTAAGGCATTAGCAGCTAGACTGTAGTTAGGATGAGAGTCCAACAAGAGAAAGAACCCAGCAAGCTCTTTTACGTGCATCAAGAAGATGAACGACTTGAAAATTTGCCTATTATCAGCAATAAGAAGAAGATTGAAAGTGATATTAACCATTTACATGACAAAGACTCCGATCAGCACTCAGTGTCAGTCATGGGAGAGTATAGAGGTGATCCAAAAAATTTCGAAGTCCTCGATCCTCAAAAAGGCAGCCATGTAGCCTATACAGTCAAAGGATATGATATGGAAGGACCATTTGAGGGCAAAAGAAGATATAATGACTTTTTTAATCTTCGAAATCTATTAACTGCAAGGATGCCTGGAATCTTTATTCCTCCAATTCCTCCAAAGAAAATGATGTTTAACAAGACTGATAAATTCCTGGAAGAAAGGGGTTACTTTCTCCAAAGGTTCTTGCAGCTAACCTGCAGGGTAAAATACATTGTCAGCTCTGACGAATTCCTTCTGTTCTCTCGACCATCAGGAGATTTCGATAAAATGATTGAAACTTTACCTAAGGTTGATGCTGAATTCTTGTTAAATAGGTTTGAAAAAGAGTTCAAATTTAATTTTGAAGAAGATGAGAAGGAGCAACAAGAGAATATGGCTGTGATCAACTCATATACTGTATTTATTAAGAAGATACTACCAATTTTGAAAGGAATTAAGGATCAGATTAAACCCATGATTACTGAGAGAGATATCCAAAATAGCAATTTTCCTGATCTGATATGATTGATGAGTATGTTTTGAGATTTTAAAATTTTGAGAATTTTTGGATTTGCAATAGAGATAGATATTTTTGGAGAAATGGAGAGTGTATAGAATTGAATATGAAGCTAAATGATGTATTATAGCCCAGTTTGCGGATTGTATAAGTGGAAATCCAGATTCAGATGATTCAATTGATTCTATTTATATCCGTAAGTTTAATATTGGATATCGGTATATTTTGTATAGAAACAGCCAATGATATTTCAGAAAAACTGAAGAATCCTTTCAAAGATTATTACCTCTGGCTCAAAGGAGAAATCTATGATGTCCAAGCTTTAAGTGACACATTAGAAAGTGCTGATAAACTTCGAAAAACAATTGATAAACTTGAATCCAAACAAAAATCAACCGAAGCCAAGCTTGATAAGCTTAATAGCAAGAAAATGAGTTTTCAGACTCTCTTCCAAAAAGATTCGACAAAAGAGGAATCAAAAAAAACTTGCATTGAACAAATTGCCAAATACAAAGAAGACATCGAAATCTACCAAAAACTGACAAACATCTGTGAAAAGCACGTTGCTCGGTAAGCACCCACCCTCTAACATCTCTAGAGAAGTAATCCCCAAATTCAAGGAAGAAAAGACTGAAATTTACTACAAAATGATTCAACTGATCAGCGTCGGGGAGATCCATAACTGACGTCTCGCTACCAGCTTCTGGAACTTACTGCAGAGCCAGATAAAGAAAGCCAGTAAGGACGCAGAGGAGTAGTTCAGGAGTGGATGAGGAAAGAGAGCTGAGTAGAGATTTGTTAAGGAATTTTGAGGAATTAGGGAGATTTTTGGAGATAGGGGAGGTTACTGGGAAGGAAGAGGGTTGGAGGGGTTGAAGGGAGGAAAGGAGTGAGAGAGGGTGGGTTTAGGCGGAAGAGAGGGGAAGGTAGGGTTTTGAGGAGATATGGGGTATTTGATGTTCAATAAAATATTGTTGAAGAGGGGTTTTGGGGTTTTGGGGTTTTGGGGTTTTGGGG